TCCACCTCATTCATGTCTTGCACACCGACTTTCTCTATGTCACATGGATGGCGAGGGGTTTTGGTAGGCAGAGAACTGTTACGTAAAGGACTAGGGTGTTTATAGGGGATGGTAAAGATATCTCCTTATGGCGGGAACCATGGCTATCTCCAGAGCAACCCCAAACACCAATGGGACTACCTACGGCAGCCAATGCTACACTTAAAGTTAGTGATCTTATCTGTGAATCTTCCAATGGTTGGAATATTAGAGCCATACAACAACACTTACCTCAGTATGAGGCACTGATACGTAAACTTCATCCACCTTCTGTGGCAGCCGATGGTAAATTGGTTTGGTTACTGGAAAAATCAGGAGTATACACTACAAAATCGGGCTATTGTCTAGCCAAACAAAACTCAACAACAGCCACAATCACCCAATTCAATTGAAAATCCTGTATCTGGAAGCTTCCCACACTTCCCAAGATCAAATCTTTCATGTGGAAAGCTATGAATGAGGCTCTTGCTCTTGGTGAAAATCTTGCAAAAAGAGGCATTGATGCGGACACTGCGTGTAAGCGATGTGGAGGAACCGACACTGCTATTCATTTATTCCTCCTCTGCCCATATGCACAAAAAGTGTGAGAATTAGTCCCAATTATGTTTAAACCCATATGAACTCGCCAATCCTCGCTCCAACTCCTGCTACAAGATACAAAGAGAATGATCAACCTTCCCCCTTCGGGACTGGCTCAGGTTCCTTTGTTTCCTTGGCTACTCTGGAATCTTTGGAAATCTATAAATCAGGCGCTGTTCGAAGAGAAATTCTTCTCTGAAGAAGAAACATTACTCAAGTCGATCAGAGAAGCCATAAGCTGGAAGGAGGCGCAAAGTCGCCGTAAAATACCAGAACCAGTGAGAGAAAGTCAAGCCACCGCTCCACTGTCACCCGAGTCTATATGTTGTTATGTTGATGCAGCATGGATAGAAGCATTCGGTGACTGTGAAATGGGGTGGCATTTTACCCAAGCAAACAATGTTAGTTTTGCTCAACAATCGACACACCACGATCATGTGGCATCTGCACTTGCAGCCGAAGCTTTGGCGGTCAAGAATGCTCTTTTCGATGCACTGGCTCGAGGCATAAGGAAACTCCATGTGTTCTCTGATTGTAAGGTGCTTATATCCCTCCTCAACTCAAGAAAATCTACTGTAGAACTGCGAGGTTTGCTCTTGGATATTCGAGAGCTGGACGGATCTTTTATCAAGTTATCTTTTATGTTTATTCCTCATGTACGTAATGGCCTAGCTGATACGTTGGTTAAATCTGGCTTATTGCCTGTGAATAATGCCTCCCTTGCAGAAGTGTAAGCTTTTATTTATAAAATTTTCTTTGCCCAAAAAAAAATTGATGTGTACATTCAAATCCTTATTGAGTGGCACCTAGGATTTTTTCATGTCTCTTCGATTAATATATAGAAGATATTATTATATTAAATAATTATTTAAAATAAAAAATTAAGATATTACTAAAATACTTGATTATTGATATCTAAGAACTTGACTCACTATGTATACGAGAAAAAGTAGTAGAATCGTAAATTTCAACATCCTTTCATAGACTCAAAAGAGGCTTTTGAGTTGTTGCATATATTTTCTTTCACCGGGAAAAAAAAAACATTACATAAGGGAGCCATGGGAGGTGGGGCCAGGTTTGGACACGTGTTGTGATAAGTAAACACGTGTATAGGTACATTGACACGTGTACTTGATCATTTTG